TTTTCTATTTTACAATTGTGCTAAGAGTGATTTAAAGTTGTGGTATCATAGAATTTAAATAAGAAAAATAAATCAAAAAAATTTAACAAAAACTACCTCCGAAATGTGTATATAGCCTCGATACAACTATCTCGGATTCATTTCAGTTGGTTTAACACAGTGGGACATGCTAACATTTAAGTAAAGTGTGGCTTTTTCTGTGATTAGTAAAAAGCTTTTCCTAAGATTTGCTTAACCCCTCGCTGTGTGCAATTGCGGATGGATTCCATTAGAGGGTTGGTTGGATGCCGGCTAATCTGAATCCCCAGCAATGCAGGCTTGCAGGAATTGTTTTGGGCACTCAGACCAATCAGAAGGAGAGGCAACCAACAGCAGAAATGCTACAGTACGGTCACATTTTATCTGCTTCCATTTTCATGATACTGTGTGGTAGACAAGGATTCAGGCCCGATTTCTGCTGCTTGCTTAATATGCACCAAGTGTTATGCTGCAGAATCTTTGGGCTTAGGCAGAAAGCATTCGAGTCTCCAGTTCCTCCCGCACAGTTTCACTCTGGTTTCCGCTTGATTCTGTAGACCCAGACAGTGCCCCCACCTAAGCTCTATCTAAGCAACACCCACTTGCGGCTCAACACAAAGTCAGCGCATTTTTGTGTAGAAACACTCCAAGTGCTTGCTTTTCCCTGGGGTGAATTCTCACAGCAGTGAATAGGAATAAGCCCTGAGTAAGACAAATGATCACTGTCTGCTTCTGTGAAGAAAGGATTACTCTTTTGCTTTGCCTTTAGAGGAATGAGTTCAGGGGCACCAGAAGAGCCATTTCTATAGCATCACTTATTCTGGAGTAAAAGAAAATGGTTTGACAATTTCTGACAATTATTTTTATTCTATTTAATACATGTATCATAGGAGCCGGCCATCCCACTCTTAGGTATTTACCCAAGATAAAGGAAAACCTACATTCGCACAAAGCTGTGTGCACCTCTAATCATAATCACCAAAAATGGGAGACAATCCAAATGCCCTTCAAATGAGTGAATGGATAAATCTCCATCCAATGGAATACTACTTAGCAATAAAAAGGAACTACTGGTACAGGCCACAGCTTGGATGCATCTCAAAGGAATCACGCAGAATAGAAGCCAGTCTCAAAAAGTTACATATTGGGGCGCCTGGGTGGCTCAGTCGTTAAGCACCTGCCTTCGGCTCAGGTCAGGATCCCAGGGTCCTGGGATCGAGCCCCGCATCGGGCTCCCTGCTCAGTGGGAAGTCTGCTTCTCCCTCTCCCCCTGCTTGTGTTCCCTCTTACTGTGTCTCTCTCTGTCAAATAAATAAAATCTTAAAAAAAAAAAAGTTACATACTGTATGATTCCACTTATATGACATTCTCCAAATATGTATACATATAACAACAGAGAATGGATCATTATTTGCCAGAGGTTAGAGCGAGGGGAGAGGATTGAGTGATGGAACTATTCTGCATTCTGATTGTGGTGTTGATTACACAGATCTATGCAAGTGTTAGAACTCACAGAATAGATACCAAAAAAGTCAATTTTATTGTGAATTTAAATGCATGCGCTCTCTCTCTCTCTCTCTCTCTCTCTCTTTCACACACACACACACACACACACACACACACAGTAGCTCAAGGAGGAGACTTGGACTACAAGGGTCAATGGATCCCAATAAGAGCTACAATTTCTCTAGCTGCTCCTGGAACCAGGTTAAAGGGTGAGCTACCATCCTTCTGGATATAGATAGCAGCCATGCAGTGTGACTACTATTTGAAAGGGTCCAGTGACAACCCCACCCACCACCCCTTATCCTGCCATAATTCTTAAAGTTGTTAGCATTAGAGCACTCATCCAGGCTTAAAGCAGTTTCTCTTAATTGTGCTATTCCAATATAAATAGGTTAACTAAGAAAAAGAATCCATTAACACTTTAGCAAGAAAGAGATTTCTCAGCTCAAGCAGGTTCAGAGAATTCTATCAAACAACACAGAAGACTGCTCTGTTTGTAAAAAGGAGAAGGCTGGAACAAGGGAGGCTCTCAAATGAGGGAGACCTAAGAGAATCAGTAGAGGCCACAAAGGCCACCACCACCAGTGAGGACAGTTCCTTAAAAGGGGGCAAGGCAGTCATGTCAACACAACCCATTTTCCATAAACATGAAGACCAGATCTGTGTCAGTCAACATTAAAATTAGCACCAGTTAACAGGTCAAGAAACTCTAGCTATTGGAAGCGGGGTTATTAAAACTGCTTTTTCAAAACATATTAACTCCAAAAAGGACTTTCATGCACTTACATAGGATTGGTTTATAAGTTCTGGAGAGAAGATTCTGCCCATTTGTCCCCCTAGAACACCCCAGAGACTCTTACCCCCTGCTCCTATTCTTACCCCTATGGCCCATGCTCGGTGATTATGAAATGACTGAATTAACTCCCTCCAGGGGCTTTAGTGACTTCCTATCCACTTATAGTAAAACCTACACTGTGTCCCATGGCCTTTGAGGCTCTACATGCCCTGGCCCCTGACTGACTCTCTGATTTGGTGCCCATCACACCCCCACCCCTTGTTCATTCTTCAGTCTGTCTGACTGTTCTGCTGTTTCTTAAATATACCAAACACACTCCCACCTCCGGGCCTTTGCACATTCTGTTCCACCTGCCTGAACACTGTTCCCACACACTTCATCCTTGCAGTTTCAACTCGAGGGTCACCTCCTCAGAAAGACCTTCCCTGACTTCCCATCAAATGGAACCTCCACACATCAAGGCATGCTTACACCACCTCTTTGGTTTTCGTCATTGTACTTGTCATTGTCTGAAATTATTTACCTTTTTGTTTAGAGTGTCCTTCAGGAGTCCACTGATTCTGGAATGAGATGCCTCCTCTGAATCGTAGCATCAACACTTCCTGTGGTAACCTTGGGAAACTGACAGCCTCTCTGTGCCTCAATTTTTCATTTGTCAAATGGTGATATTGAGAGCACCTAGCTTCTGTGTTATAGTTTCAATTGAGTGATTTAACATATGTGAATATAGTGTCTGGTGGTTACAAGTGCTGCATAAGTGTTTACTCAGATTACTAATACAAGAACTCTAAGCTTTCCAGGCAGAGTAACTCATGCCCTGCTGGTCGAGGTGACTTGTCATTGGGCAGACGTATGTCCCTAGCTGCACTATTCTGGGCCTTTCCTCAAAGTCTAATATGGAGGGGAAGAGAGGGTCATTCTCCTTTGGAAAGTTCAGGAGCTAAGATCATGTACGTCAGGGGTTGCTGAACGAGTATACAGACTTCGACGTGGAGAAAGCATGCCTGATAATGAAAGCAAAACTAAAGCAAAAAGGACAGAGAGAGATTGAGAATTCCATTAACCGAATCCCTGAATCTAGCTGTGCCAGAGGCCAAACTAGTATTGGAGGGTTTTAAGTTATATGAGCCAATTAAGATTTTTTTTTTTTGCTAAAACTGGATAAATTGGGTTTTTCTCCTTTGCAGTAAAAAAAAGTCCAGAAGGACATAAAAGGCATTGTTTTGGACTATTGGTTCTTTTGGTCACCACCCCGCCCCCACTCTCAAGTGCATGGGTGGAGGCACTTGGTTTGGACAATTGGACCATCTTCTTGGTCACGGTAATTGGTTTGGGAACATAATCCAGGTCAGAGACTTGACGCAGGGATTTTTTTTATAGAAACTATTGGAAATATGAATCTGGTTTTTCTCTGGAATGGCAATGCTGGAGGATGCCAGCCTTGTAGCTGTTTGGGCCATTTCATGAAAAGGGCTCCTTCTGAAAGCAAAGCCCACAGAGAAAATGTGAACACAGAGATCAAGGCGGGATGACATCAAGGTTCCGAAGAGCTGAGGTTAAGAGGTTCAGGAAGCTTAAAAAACACATTAAAGAGAATTGTTAATCAGCTGCAGAGCACACATGTTTAGAATCTCACTAAATCATGGTCAACGTAAGCAGACTTTCCCAACTGGCTTTGTGTTCTGAAAGATTTTAGATGCAGTGTTAGCCAAAAGAGAAGTCATTTTTGCTGTTTGCTTCATTATATAGAAGGGTTAAGACCATTTCTTTCTTTTTTTTTTAAAGATTTTATTTATTTGACAGAGAGAGACACAGCGAGAGAGCTGTGCTACCTATTGCTACCAACCCAGCATTTCAGGAATAGGCCTGTCTTTATACACTAGTTAAAACCCAGGAATTGAATCTGTACATTTAAGCAACTGCTAAGATAAGACAACTCCATTACTCCCGGGTTTAACAAGCAGGGGGAGTAGAAGAGGGAGAAGCAGGCTTCCCGCGGAGCAGGGAGCCCGATGCGGGGCTGGATCCCAGGACCCTGAGATCATGACCTGAGCCGAAGGCAGACGCTTAACGACTGAGCCAGCCAGGCACCCCGGATTAAGACCATTCTTATTGAGAATTATGAAAAGCAGAATTTCAGAGCTGAAAGGGACCTTAGAGTTTCTCTAGACTGGTGGTTTCCAAGCCCTGGGCCATACAGTTTTTACAAGTGGTCCCTAAATCCATAGGTCACAAACTTTGCCCTGTACGTGGAAGAAAGCACATACCTGGCACACACATATGTGAATGATCATTTTTCAAACACACATGGATGCTACTATGATGAACTTTGTTAAAATTCATTTAAAATCCGGACTGAAAGCATACTAGCTATTATTATATTTTCTTAGTATTTAGTGAAAGTAGTACCAACTCTTAGTGGGGGGGGGAGGGGGGAGGTCTGAAAACTTTGTTAAAAAATTTCACATAACTGGAAAGATTTTAAAACATTCACCTGAACCAAAAATGTTGATTTGTATTCACTGAAGAGACTAAGCTTCCGTGAGGTGTCTGATATTTACAGTGCTCTGACAGTACTTGGCTACCGAAAGGCAGCTGCCTAAGGGGCATGGTACCCAAGTGGTAAATGGAGACGTGAAGCGTCTTATAGACCATTACAGCTCCCCACCCTTAGCCTTACCTTCGGTGGTCAGGTCCTGCAGCGGCTGGCCCTCGTAGGCTTTCTGTTACCCTTAAAAATAAAACTGCCGGTTGTTTTACTAGCAACAACAGGTTTACTCGGGAATTGCCGAGAAGTACAACCTGGGACGCAGACAACTCTGCCGAAGGAGGGAAGGGAATGCTTTTTTCCAGAGGAAAGGAGGACGCTGGGAAAGCCGTTATAAACGGAAAACCCATTGGAGTAAACGGGGAGCTGGAAGTATAGTGGCTTTTCATTGGCTGGGTTGTGACTGTCTCTCATTGGCTGGGCTGTTGCCAAGGTGGGAGCAAAGCCTTTCTTCCTCCTGCTCTGGTAGTAACGTCCAATCCACGGTCCTGTCTTTTCCTGTTGGATTTGCAGTTGACCACCAGTGGCAGGGCAGGGGAAGTCCCCTGCCTCGCCTTGCGACTCCTTCCTAATGAGGTTTCCCTTGATTCATTTTGCCGCTTCCCCCATCACTGGTACCTCCTCCCTCTTGCTAGCTGCGCTTCTGTCAATGGGTTTTTGCAATGTGTTGGAAAGGCTCTGATTTCTCTTAAAACAGGGCCTTGGCCTGTGATTGCCTCGTCTGTAATGCTCTCCGCCCCCTTGCTCTCCTTAAGGTAAGGCCTCCTCTTAACTCTTTCCTCACCACTCAGCTCCAGAATCACCCCCTCAGAGGAAGGCTTCCGAGTCAGGGAAGCTTATCCGCTCCCATCCAGTCACTGCCTTCCTTCGGAGCTCCTCTCTCAGTGTGTAGCTCTGCTCTGGTGCGTCAGTCTGACCCGGTCGGCTTGCCCCCAGGGGCGTGGACCTGCGCTGAGAGCAGGGACTGTGTCTATTTGGGCATCTTGGTCTTCCCAGTGCCTGGCACCTAATCGAGTTCGTTGCACAAATGATGCAGGCTGCTCAGGGGTCTTCATTTGCTACTATCTCTGCTCCTCTACCTCCATCACGTCATTTTTTTTTTTTTTTTTTATACATTCTTTTGCTTGATTTCTACTTTCTGTGCCTGGAACCAGGCTTGGAACTCTTCAAGGGCAGAACCTGAGTTGCATTTATCTTTTTATCACTCATGTATGCATCTATTTTTGTCCAAAATGTGAATAGAAAGCACACCTGCAAGATTGTGACATAACCAGAAAACTATGTCCTATATACAGCCTTGTTCTAAAAATAGCCCAGCACATGCTCTGGTATAATCTGACTCAGATGCTTCATATCGCAGCATTTCAGGAATAGGCCTGTCTTTATACACTAGTTAAAACCCAGGAATTGAATCTGTACATTTAAGCAACTGCTAAGATAAGACAACTCCATTACTCCCGGGTTTAACAAGAAGCAAAGCCTCCTTAAACCAGGTGCATTTTATTGCTTCACAAAGACTCTCTTCTCTACTCAACCTTCAGTGAAAGCTAAAGGAATGAAGGACATGTGGCCTGGAAGACCACCCAGGAATAATGCCGCCTTTACCACAATGCATAATCATAAACTTTTTGGAGTTACACACCCTGCCTTTGAACCCTAGCTTTGCTACCAACTAGCCGTGTGTCCGTAGCGAGCTACCATATCCTTCTTAGCTTTATTTTCTTCGTGACTAAGTGCAGAGAACAGTAATACCTACTCCGTAGGACTGTAGGAAACCTAGCTAAAACCACGCAGGTAAAGCGCTAGCCCAAGGCCAGACGGAAGGTTCAAGATCATAACCGCTGCCTTGGTTTCTTCCTAGGGAGGAGGGTGGGTGGGTGGATGGAGCTGATGTAGCCTGAGTGGGAGGAACATCCTGGATTGGGGAAACTCTGCCTCTTCTTTTTCTGCAGACAGGGTGGTAAGTTGGAAAGGATTAAAAAAGATCCTGGGGGAATAGAGAACAACTCTGTCCAAAGCCATTATTAACCATTTGTTCTTTTTTGGGGTGAGAGTGGGGGAGGCGGGGGCGTTGGAATATGGTAGCTGAAAGATAAAGATGGGACAACGACTGGCATTTGGGTACCGCAGTAAGATTGTCTAATAAGAATAAAGTCTCAAGAGACCTTGGGGGAAGAAGACAGAACAGATCCATTAAAATGTAGATCGCTGCCGATCCTCCCATGAAACACGAAGTGCCCTGGAACTTCCTGGCAGCTGCAGACTGTTGCTGTTTTTATTGTGGATTTTAAGCGGGGGTCGGGTTTGCGTGATGCCTCTCACTCACATGCTCATTTCCTCTGAAACCTGATGTTTAATTGTTGCCTTTTTAAATTGTGAGAATTAAGATTAGATCGTGGAGTGAAAGAATACTATAAAGTACAACACAAAGGTAAAGAATAGTCATGAAAGCTTTCGTTCTCCCTCAGCTCCTTCTGATCCACTCTCCAGATGCCCCCAGGGGTTTATTCCTAAAACACAGGCTGGTCACATCTTTCCCTGGCTTATAGGCCCTCTAGTCTCAATACTTAGAGCAGTCATTGTCATTTTCTTTAAATTCTTGTTTTTGTTAAATGGTTAAAAAGCCAAATGGTACGGAAAGGCACTAAATCCTTTCCTTACTCCTTCCCTTCCCAGTTCTGGTCCTTACGGAAAACCACTTTAAACTCTTTTAGCTTGGGACCCCTAGGTGGCTCAATCAGTTAAGCATTTGTCTTCAGCTCAGGTTATGATCCCAGGGTCCTGAAAGCGAGCCCCGCATTGGGCTCCCTGCTCAGCGGGGAGCCTGCTTCTCCCTCTACCTGCCGCTCCCCCTGCTTGTGCTCTTTCTCTCTCTGACAAATAAATGAATAAAATCTTAAAAAACACCTTTAGCTCTTAAATTTCTTTTAGTAATCGGGTTCTATATAAATAATAATATATAAATAATTTAGTAATAGGGTTCTATATAAGTAATATAATCATAATTGGGTTCTGTAATTATAATAGTATTTGGTTTATCAATTTTTGTCTGTACCTGTTAACTTTCAGCACACACAAGCGTGCACACACACACACATGCACACACACCCACCTGTGGTCATTTTTTCGGAGTCATTTGAGAATCGGTTGTTTATACCCTGCTCTCTTACTCCTTAATTCTTCAGTGTGTAATTCTTAGGATCAAGGATATTCTCTTATGGAATCATAATACGTTATCTAATCTATATTCCATTTGTCATATTAATCAACTGTCTCAATAATGTCTTTTACAGAATCTTTTTTTCTCCAGTACAGGACACAGTACAGGACCATGTATTGCATTTCCTTGGGTCATGTTTCTTTAGTTTGTTAATTTGGAATTGTTCCTCGGCTTTTCTTTGTCTTTTATGACATTGGCATTTTTTTTAAAGGATTATAGGCCATTAGTTTTATAAAGTGTTTCTCAATGTGAGTTTTATGATACTTTGTCTTGATTAGATTCAGTTGGACAACTCCTGCATGGATGCTGTGTCCTTCTCAGGGCATCCCATCCAGAGGCATTTGACATTAATTTTGGTCATCTGGTCATGATATTGTCCAGTTTCTTCACTGACTGCAAAGTTACTATGTTTCTCTTGCAATTAATAAGCAGTCCCCGGGAAGACACTTTGAGAACAGATACTAATCTGGCACCATACCAAATTTTCTTTTTTTTTTTTCAAAGATTTTTTTTATTTACTTATTTGAGAGAGAGAATGAGAGAGAGAGCACATGAGAGGGGGGAGGGTCAGAGGGAGAAGCAGGCTCCCCGCTGAGCCAGGAGCCTGATGCGGGACTCGATCCAGGGACTCCAGGATCATGACCTGAGCCGAAGGCAGTCGCTTAACCAACTGAGCCACCCAGGCGCCCCATACCAAATTTTCTAATATAAATTAAGCATCCATTGATGATTTTTGTTTAAATTAGTCTCTACTATAATGGTTACAAAAATGATGATTTTCCCCCTTCCCTCTGCCCTTCACTTTTATTAACCCACATTCCACTATAAGGAAGAGTCTCCCTCTCCTCCCACCCTCCTCTCCTATCCTCCCATCTCCCTTCTCCCTCTCCTCTACCTGCTCTAAGAGCAAATCTACTTGAAAGGTTGTTGCTCACTTTCAGTGGTGTCAAGTCAGAGAGATGAAGGTGATGGAAGTCAGTCTCCTCTAGACTATGCCATCTGAACACACACACACACACCACACACACACCACCACACACACACCCACACACCCACATACACACCACACACACACCACACACAGTGGGATAGCTTAAAAGGTAAATTATAGCATAAGCCCCTTTAATCTCCCATTGCAAGTAAGCAGAATGTAATCTTTAGATCTGTATTTGTGATACGTATAGGACTTGTTCAATACATTAGTGACTCAAAATTTTTTTTTTAAAAGATGTTATTTATTTATTTATTTGAGACAGAATGAGAGAGAGAGAGAGCTCATGAGAGGGGGGAGGGTCAGAGGGAGAAGCAGGCTCCCCGCTGAGCCGGGAGCCTGATGCGGGACTCGATCCAGGGACTCCAGCATCATGACCTGAGCCAAAGGCAGTCGCTTAACCGACTGAGCCACCCAGGTGCCCCAGTGACTCAAATTTGAAACAAAATTTATATGATGCTTTCAGCTTCCATTTATCTCAGGAGCAGGCTGAGATTGCATATGAAAAATTGGGGCCCCCCAAATCAAACCAAACCCCAAGCCTTGCTATGATGTGAACCTTCTTAGCTTTTTGAATTGGGATTTTTTTTTTTTGATTCTACACAATCAAAATAAAATAGAGAAATAATTTGGGTGCTGAGGCTGCTATCTGATTGCAACTATTATCCACAAACCCCAGCTTCAAATTTTGTACTTATATTTTTGTGTTTGTATTTATATTTACACTTTATCAAAAAAGCTCCATCGTTCTCATTGAAAAAACTGAATTTGAAAGTATGATATGCATCACAGTTTTATGCATCAAACCTTATTGTTTGAGTTTTCTTATAATTCTAATTAAAATAGAAAGATTTGAAAGATCCAAACTGTCTGAGTCCCTAACTGAAGCCCAAGCTCCTTGCAACGACACCATACGCAAGGTTCTTTATGATGTGATTTCTTCGTGACATCCCAACCTCATGTCCTTATGCCCCGTCCAACTGTCAAAGTAGTTGCAACTCCTTGAATCTGCTGTGGTTTTCTTGCTCTTCTGTCTTTGCTTGGTGGTCGCTGTCTGGAATGTCCT